CAGGGTTGAGTCCACATGAAGATCTTTAATACCAGATTCATAGATGTTGTTCGTCAAATCAATATTAATCGATCCTTCAGAGTTGTCTCACTTCTGTGCGACCTTTCGACGCAAATCAGTTTCGTTATTCGCGATGCAATGCGTACATTGATAACGTATTAGAGGGTCATACATTTTTTGTTTATTCTTTCGTCTCTTCACCGAGTTTGAAAATTCGAATTAAGTGTATGCTCGATATAATTTTAGTACTAACAATTGTTATCTAATGAGAATTTAACACAATCAGTATTTACCAAGTAAATCCTCATACCTTTCCTGGAGCTGAGATGAAGTGGAGGATGCAGACGCACAATATTAATAACAATTTAGTCAAATGGTCCGAAAACCGATTTTAAAACCATTTGCTCTGATACTAAATTGTAACACTCTAATCCGTCTAGGTCTGCAGCCCCTTTTGGACTAAAGTATTAACTTGGTAAAGTAAAAATTTCAAACATTTAAAAACTTTATTTCAACAAATGTACTAAATATTTCATAATAACATCAGATTAAAATTATTTAAAATAGTGCAGAAGCGATTTGCAAACTACAACAGTATGGTCAACCATGTGATAAAATCATTTTCTTAAATAGTAGAGTTTGTGTACGTCCACACATCACCTCCATCTCAGTAATCTCCAGAATAGGCTCCATATTTATTCTCTCTCATACCTACGTGTGCAAAGATGAAAAAGTCTACACGCTCAACAATGAAGCCGAGTGGTACTATGGCACAACAAAAGAATTCACAGAATAATTTTTTAAACAATCCAATCACATATATATGTTCAAATATATTTGTTTTTTTCATATTTAAATTCATCTTTATTATTTTAACAAGGATAATGAACATAGTCGATTCTTAAATATCATCATTCAAACTTATAAAATAATCACATGTCACTTTTGTTATCACAATATTCATCATTTGTTACACATAATTTCATATCAAATTTTATCACAATGTGCTCCTAACTTATTCTAAGTTAAGGCTAAATAGTATCAATATTCTTAAACTATTTTTAGTCTTAGTCAAATTAATATTGATAACATAGCTCTTAAACTATAACTAGTCTAAGGCAATATTTCTAACCAGGCCCTTAAACTATAAATAGTTTGATGCAGAACACGAGAATCGATAATCCACCCTATGAGTCACGTGGATTACGTACCAAACCGAATAGTGATCTGTCGGGTGGGTGATATACGGGCTGGATCCCGTACGTACGTTTTAACCCCGAATTATGAATGGGTCAAGGAGGTATATCTTAGAATTCTTCTAGATATCCTTAATAATCATCATCCATTTTCCAAGTGGGTATATCTTAGAGTTACGTTCTTCTAGATATCCTTAACAATACACATCATTTTCATAATCATCAATATATTCATTTTTAATCATGATTTAATCATTCATAATTATTATTTTAATAAGAATATTCATCAAAGTCTGATCATAAACAACATCAATAATAATCATCACAATATCTAATAACAATAGCGGCCTAGCATCAAGTGTTAATACCTAGCTTATCGCCATACATCATATAAGGTTCTTTAGTTGTCCAAACATCATTTTTCTTTTTACTCTAAGAAATTGTATTTTTATTGCTGAATAAAAAATAGGATTTTATATCTTCAAAAATAGCATTTTCGAACTTAAAATGTTCGTAACGGTCGACCGTTGGATCCGCACGGTCGTTCGCAGGAAAAACGGAGTTACTATTCATCATCTTCAACCTTCGATCCAATTTCTCAAAACACCATAANAATCATCACAATATCTAATAACAATAGCGGCCTAGCATCAAGTGTTAATACCTAGCTTATCGCCATACATCATATAAGGTTCTTTAGTTGTCCAAACATCATTTTTCTTTTTACTCTAAGAAATTGTATTTTTATTGCTGAATAAAAAATAGGATTTTATATCTTCAAAAATAGCATTTTCGAACTTAAAATGTTCGTAACGGTCGACCGTTGGATCCGCACGGTCGTTCGCAGGAAAAACGGAGTTACTATTCATCATCTTCAACCTTCGATCCAATTTCTCAAAACACCATAAAAGCTTCAAAGATTTAAACTAAATTCATAAAAATGTTTTCTAACATCCATAGATCACACACAAACAATATATTTGAAGCTTTAACAACAAAACAACTTTGTTGATTATGAATATCAAAATATTTATATTTTCAATATATATGAATCAATAAGTTCAAGGATCATTTCACCGCCTTCTAAAGTTGTTTAAAATCATGGTAAAGACCTAGAAATCGACAAGGTGAAGCTCAACGAACGAACGGGAGCGAAAACAACGTTAGAAATCACAAAACCCGCCACCACTGTACCAGCCCCGGTTTTCGGGCCATATCTCCTTCGTTACTCAACGAAATCGCGAACTGTTTGAAGCTACGGATTCATAAGACATAAGGCTACAACTTTCGTTTAGAAACCAGATTAAAATAACGACGTTTAGAGCGTGGAAAAATGCTCGCAAGTGGGCTGATTTGCACAGGGAATATTTTCTTCATTCAACTTTTTGGGGCAACTTCCGGCAAGAATCGTGGCTACCTCCGACGACTTTGTCAGTGACGATCACTTGCGGTCTATTCTCTATACTCTAATGAAACTATAGGAAGAAGAATGAAGAATTTTGGTGGAGAATTGAAGGAGAAATGAGACTCCATTTATAGGTGAAGAAGGGGAAGGAGATGAGCGTGTAATTGCTCCATTTGGTCATTTTGTACCCCATGTTTTGTACCCCATTTTGTACCCCGTAGTTTTGCACCTACACTTTGTGTTGCTGTAAAACTAATTTTTATTAATGCACTAACATTTTGTGTCCGTGTAAATTTTTGTTAACGCACCAACACTTGTGTCGGTGTAAACTTCAAAATGTTTGTGTATAACTACGGTGTACAAATGGAGTACAATTCCTCCACTATTTTGCTTAATTTATCTTAATTGGGATACACTTTTTGGTCTAACTTTCTCCAAATTGAAATCTGATTGCACTGTTGCAATTAGACAGTCAAACTCTACATATTTTTATGAAATACTTTTTATGGTTTCATATTTATAGGTGTTGACTTAGATAGAGTCAAAATTGAATTAATTGTCATATAATTAAAAGTATTCTTATATTTAATCAATATTATTCAATTTGAATAATTTATTTCAATAAATCATTTTACAAAAGTTCACATCTTTGACCACTTCTCATTTTTATGCAAATTACGTATTTAAAATGTCATAACTGAAAATCTGTACATCAGATTTATTCATAAAATATACTGTTGGATTCGTCTCTTCGAGACCTATCCATAAAAGTCAATCTTAACAAAAAAATCATTGACTCCAAAAATTCTTTTGTTTTTGGTCAAACATGGAAATAATGTTTTGTTCGGTCAAAATATTATTTCTATGTACTTTTATTATAGAAGAACTTTTAGACCATGTTTTGGGGCGTTACACGTTATCTTAGTGAATGTCTTAAAGATATAAAAAAAGTATTGTTTTTTTTAAATACAAAAAACTAATTTTACAAAAAAATATTTATAATATAAAGTTAGCATAAATATAAAATTTTAAATTTTAAAAAAGCTGTGTAGTTATATTGCACCTCAATTTATTTATGCAGTATTTATTATAAATAATGTATTTGTAATTATAATTCATATATTAAAACATTTTGTTTTAAATATCATATATGTCACATAATAAAACCTATTGTTTCTTTCATGATTGACATTTTATTTTCATTGAATTCCTATTTTTGGAATAAAGACATAGAACTTTTTTTTTTACATTTTTTATGTTTTACTCATATTTTAGTCTTTTTCTCTAAGCTATTTTGACTTACAATTTTTTTTATAAAAATTAGAAAAATGAGCAATTTTTAAGTAATAAAAGGAAAACTGAGATGTCTTATAAAAAGTTATATTAATAAAACATTCAATGTAACTATTTTATCCATAAATTTTTAGTATAATTTAACATATTCATGTTTTCCTGTTTTATCATGTAGACTAATATACAAAAAATGTCTTATTCATATTAAAGAGTTGAAGAAAAAAATAATAAGTGTGAATCGTAAAAATATTGAGATGAAAAAAAATAATTTATAAACTATAGTTATGAATATAACAGTTGTAATAATAATAATAATAATAATAATAATAATAATAATAATAATAATAATAATCACATTGAAATATATCATTTTTAGAGTAATTAGTTGAGGAGTAGAAAGAATTTGAAGAAAATGAGAAAAGTTGGACGAAACTGGAAGAAACTGGAAGAAACTGGAAGAAACTAGAAGAAACTGGAAGAAACTGGAAGAAACGGGAAGAAACTGGAAGGAACTGGAAGAACGGGAAGAAATTGGAAAGAACTGAAAGAAACTAGAAAAAATTGGAAAAAATGAAAGGAAATGGAAGAAACTAGAAGTTGAGTTCAAACAAGAACAGGTCTTTAGAGTCTTAGGGGCTGTTTGACAACTTCTGAATAGGTAAGTGCTGAACCAGTAAGAGGTTTGAACCATTAAGTGCTGAACCAATAAGAGGTCTGAACCATTAAGAGCTAGTATATTGCTTAACTATTCAGAGGCAAATGTCTGATCAATTCAGATAAGATGTCTTTTTTTTGAAAGGTCAGATAAGATGTCTTAACCATTCAGATTCTGTATAATACTTAACCATTCAGAGGCAAATCTCTTAACCATTCAGACATCTAAACCATTAAGAGGCTGAAACAAACAGTCTGAACCATTAAGTGCTGAACTATTCAGACATGTGAACCATTAAGAGACTGAAACAAACAGCCCTTACTCAACCAATGAGCTATTTCTATCATTCAAATCCTTGACAATTTGACTGAAGAAACATAGTCAATCTCAAGAAATTCTCCCGTGTATGCGTCTCTCAAGCAATTCGAAAAAGCGGAATTCAAATAACTGCGCAAGAAGAGAAAAAAGTTTATCACTGGTTAAAGTCATCGCCGCTCTGTCCCAGTATCATCAGATCGTTAAAAAAAACTTCACCCTCTCTTCCTCTTCTTCCTTGATTCTCTCTCAACTGTGATCCTCCTCCGTTCGATCGGTAGAGGAGAGCTGGATGGGATGGCCTCAAAGCCTTGGCTATGTCCGGCTCCCTCTTACAGTAGTTTAGAGGCGTTCTGGGACACAGATGAAGACGCCCCTGGCCCACGCTGCGCCCACACCTTCACCGCTGTCGCAGCCACCAAAACACACGGCCCTCGCCTCATCCTTTTTGGCGGCGCTACCGCTATTGAAGGCAGCAATGGTGGTCCAGGAATCCGTAATTATCTCTTCTTCTACCCTCTCCATTTTGACTCCCTCTCTGCACCTTGCCACCAAAGATGTTGACCTTCAATGACAATTTGGGTGCAGGTCTTGCTGGTGTTACCAACTCTATTCATTCTTATGACGTCCTCACCAGAAAATGGACCAGGTATTATTCATGTCTTTCCTGTGCTCATTTGATGCCTGACAGCATCCAGATATGTTTCTCCATTTTGCATTCTTATTTCCAGACTGCGACCAGCTGGAGATCCCCCTTCACCAAGGGCTGCACATGCTGCTGCAGCAGTAGGAACTATGGTTGTATTTCAGGTGATTGCAAGCTGAAGTTCAAGTGAATTCTTCTTTAATGTGTTAGCTTATGAGAGTTTATGTGATGGGTTGATGTAAATTATGCTAGTGTGGCATAGGACCTGCTGGCCATTCAACAGATGATCTATATGTTCTTGACTTGACCAATGACAAATTGAAATGGCACCGGTGAACTTGTTGTAATATACTCACAATTGTTTTCCCTACATTTTTATTCTGTATTTCTGACCTTTTAATGTTTTGTTATTTAGAGTTGTAGTTCAAGGACAGGGTCCTGGCCCACGATACGGCCATGTTATGGATTTGGTCGCTCAAAGATATCTTGTTACCTTTGGTGGAAATGATGGTAAGTACAGTTTTCCTCAATATACTCTTCAATAGTCTAATTTTCTCATCAAATGATATAATCAGGATACGTTTAAGTATCATTATTTACTCAGGTTTCCCTTACAATGACAGCAGCAGTTGTCCAATTATAGATTACTTGGTTATAATTGGAAACATGTTCTGCTTTTGTTCTTGTGAATGTCAATATATAGTGGCATGAAGCTATAATTTTGAGTTATTTTACTTGATAGATGTATGCTATTTATGTAAATGTAGAGATGTTTATATGCCGTTTACTGTCAAACACATGTGGATCTGTTTACCATTTATTGATTTTCTCGAATAGTTGCTATTCAATTTGTCTTTTTGGTTTCCTGTCCTTAAAAAAGAGTTTTTTTAGGTAAAAGAGTTCTGTCAGATGCCTGGGCTTTGGATACTGCTCAGAAACCATATGCATGGCAAAGGTTAAATCCAGATGGGGATAGACCCTCTGGTAGAATGTGAGTTAACATTATCCACTCATTAAAGTACTTCCTTTAGTGCTCCCTCCCTTCCTCCAAATCAGTTTACATACATCCTTTTCGGAAATTCTCTTGTTCACATAAACTTTTCTATCAACTTTTCCATCAGTTCAATCTATTTCTCTCTCCTAATTAAATACATTAGTAACTTTACATAACTTTACAATCTACTTCAGTTTTGTATACCCTTAATCTACGTGCAAGTCAAACTTTGCAAAGTATTTAGGAACAGAGGGAGTACTCCTTCCTTCCCTAATTAAAAGTGATGCAGGGTAGAGAGAAATGATGTATATCGTATAACCTTTTTTCTTTAAAAGGAAAGCAGAACTTTATTTTGGGACAAACAAACTAGGAAACATGGAACCTTTTTCCAGGACAGATGGAGTATTTGTTAACTTGTTAGCATAAGTGCTTTGTTTTAAATTGCTAATGCTATACAAATGTTTCACTACTTTTGTAGGTATGCAACTGCTAGTGCACGTTCAGATGGAATGTTTTTGCTCTGTGGTGGGAGAGATGCTTCAGGCACAGTATGCCTAACATTCTTATAGAGTAGTCTAGATAATGATTGTAATTGTGTGTCTATGTGTGTCCTTTCCGTTTTCTAGCTTTCGGGTTCCCAAGTTGCTTTGTGGTCATATATTGAGGGAGCATTTGGGTTTGTTTTTGTCATGCATTTGGAATAACCAAATAAGAAATGATGTTTAGAAGATATGCAATTAGGTTTCATAGATGATATCGTGTGTTTAGCATGTATTCTGAAATCAAATTAGGAATGAGATCGATGGAGGCAAACTCAATGAAGGGAGGTCGATGCACGCGAGCTTGGTGAAGAGAGGGGGGAGGGGGTCAGTAAATGGAGGCCAGATTGATGAGAGAATCAGCTCCCTACCATGTGAAGGGAGGGGGGTGGATAGTGGAATGGGTCTGTGAGAGTTTAGGGAATTAGTTTGAGAATCAATTTAATAACCAAACAAGGGTTATCACTCATGGGCATACATGATATGGTATCCACCCGAAGGAAACAAAACCTTTTTCTTTAATGCTATGAGGAAATTGCAAAAATATGTACCTGGAGTGATGACATTGTTTGGAACAATGTGTATCTACATTACTCTTAGCTTAGAAGTTTTATGATGTAGACTCTATATCCAGAGTTAGCTCCCCACCACTATCCCAAAAGAATATACTTGTAGTAGCTTCTAACATATTTTTTCTGGCTTGGTATTTCGTAAGGATAAGAAATGAAAATAACCTTTTCTTTCCTTAGCCCATGCCTGATGCTTATGGACTACTTATGCATAGAAATGGCCAGTGGGAATGGACTCTCGCTCCTGGGGTTGCACCTTCACCAAGGTACCAACATGCTTCGGTAAGTTATAAGCACACAATTATTCATAATCCATATCTATTTGTTTGTAAACAAATACAACACTCAGGCCTTTGTCCAAAATGATTAGAGTTACCTACTGGCTAAAGCCTACATAAACCAATAAAGAATCTCCCTAGGGCATTATTTACATTATTTTCTGTCATGTACCCTATGCGCATTAACCCCAACTCTTTGATGTTTCTTTTTTGCACCTTCAATTTGTCTTTTTTGCCCTATCACATCTTATTTTAAGTCTAAAACACTTAAAGACTATGCTATCCACATTGGAACACTTGCTTCTTAACAGTTGACATGCTCGAGCAAATCTCATTGGGCTTCTCTTTTTTCTTAAAAAACAGCTGCCCCCCATTCATGCAAATCTCCATGTACATTTTATCATTCTTTTGGCCTTACCGCACATTCATCATAACTTATGCATCTCTTCGACTCTGTCACACTCATTTTCTTTATCCAATCTTAGTTTCTCATCTGCATAATAACGCTGGTCTTGCATACATTAAAGATCACATTGTAGTCATGTCACTCCATTCTATTTTAGTCAACATGCATTTAACCAATGAGGCAGTTTTCCATATAATAGTTCTCAAGTATTCGAAACAAACAATCGCTTAATTACCTTAATAGCTCGTCCGGCATCCACACCCAATTTCACCCAATTTTCTTTTTTACTTTTGATGGTGCTACCCAGATGCTCTGTTCACTTTGGTTTATCCCCAATTTTCTTTTTCATGTGTGTTTTAGTAGCCTAGCATATTTCCTGTGCTGGAATGAGGTCTTGCATAGGAACATTATTCCCTCTGCCTGATTTTATGCTATTATCCAGGTTTTTGTTGGTGCAAGATTACATGTTACTGGGGGTGTACTTAGGGGTGGTCGCGCTGTAGAAGGTGAAGGAGCTATAGCAGGTAAGGATCAAGGGTGCTTGACTAGTGTGGTCTTTTGCATGATTTTCAATGGGCTTTATTTGAATATAATCTCTTCAAGTCTTGAAACTATTGTTTCTTGTTAAATAGTTCTGGATACTGCTGCGGGAGTTTGGTTAGATAGAAACGGACTCGTGACTTCTTCGCGTAATACCAAGGGACAAACAGAACATGATCCTTCATTGGAGCTTCTACGTCGCTGTCGTCATGCAGTTGCAGCTGTTGGTGTTCGGATATATATTTATGGTGGCCTTAGAGGAGGTAATATATGCAATTAATCATTGCAGAGTATACAATACACCATTACACCATAATTAGAAGTGTAGAACACTTTTTGTTTGAACCGGTGGGCAAACAAATGATGGTGACTGATTACTTGTTACTGAGGATGCATTATCTCAGATATCATGTATTCATGTCAAAGAAAATTTATGGTCCAGTTCTCATTTTCCCATGCAGATACACTATTGGATGATTTACTGGTTGCAGAAAATTCTCCATTGCAGCCATCAGAACCAAATTCCCCATCCTTAACATCTGAGAGAGTCCCAGCATTGGGGTCTCCTAGGTTTGTCAATTCTGATGCAACCTCATTCCTTGACACAGTAACTCCAGACGGAGAATCTGGTTTCATTTCATTTGGTGGTTTAAGGTAGTTCTGAAGTGATCATACAGGGTTTTGGTTTAATTTCATGGTGTTGATAGTTTATAATTTGTGCTTGCAGCACGGACAGAAGTTCATTGGAAAAACTAGCTGAGGCTTCTGCCGCTGAAGCTGAGGCTGCTAATGCTGTCTGGCAAGCAGCACAGGCTGCATCATCTGCTCCTGAAGGAACAGCTGTATCTGATGACAATTCCCGACCTACAGAAACCACATCAGAGGGTAGTGACAATGAAGTGGATGTCCGCCTTCACCCCAGAGCTGTGTGTGTCTTTCTGAATTGCATATATTTGACTCATTCTTGTGAGTAGTAAATTTTTAACTTCTGTATTGAATCAGGTTGTAGTTGCAAAAGAAGCTGTGGGTAATCTGGGAGGAATGATAAGACAATTATCCTTGGATCAATTTGAAAATGAAAGTAGGCGAATGCTTCCATCTCAAAATGATCAAACAAATCCAACAAAAAAAATTACAAGGCAGAAATCTCCCCAGGGATTGCATAAGAAGGCAAGGGCTCAATCTTTTACTGTTATCTAGGCGAACGAGTAAACAATGATTGTTTTCTTACAATAATTAAGCATTCATGATTCCCTTTTTTTGTGTTTCTATCTCAGATCATATCTACTTTGCTCATCCCTAGAAACTGGAAAGCTCCGGTCAACCGAAAGTTCTTTCTGGATTCCTATGAAGTGGGCGAGCTCTGTTATGCTGCTGAGCAGATCTTCATGCATGAGCCCACTGTTCTACAACTTAAAGCTCCTATTAAAGTATTCGGTGATCTCCATGGACAGTTTGGTGATCTGATGAGATTGTTTGATGAGTATGGGTTTCCATCCACTGCAGGAGACATAACGTAATATAATAATAGAGTTCTATTCATTCATAATTTTATTTTAACCAAATTTAATAGTTCGTAGTTTAACTTATTCACCTTTGTAGAGAATGAGATATTATTCTCTGAAAAATCTGTTCTGACTCTTAATGAAATAGAAACCCTAAATTATTCTGGTAGATTGGTGATGAGTCTCTGGTGTTAAGTGTCTCAAGTTAGCTTTCATGTATGCAGTTACAGAGTAAAGAAGTCAAAATCCTGCATAAAGAATTATATGAGTCAATGAGTGTTTATGTAGCTATATAAGAGTTATTGCAATTTCAGGTTGTAGCTAAAAATGTTGTTGGACAATGCTTAACAACAACAAACCAAAATATAATCCCAACTCATTTGGGTGTGGGGGTCAAGATGTATGCAACCTTACCCTTGTAAAAATAGAGAGGTTGTTTCTGTTAGACCTTTGATGCATTGCTGCATCCATTGCCCAAAATTTTATAGGAAGTAAAAATCAAGGTAAGTTTAACGTGCCATTTTGATTTAGAGCATGCTCTCCTCATTTGATCTAATTAGATCTTATCTGAATTTATTAAGGTCTAATGCGATCTGATTCTTTCTTATTTAATCTGAATCTTTGTAGTCTGATCTTATTTGATTCCAATAAAGTTGTATAGTCTAAGAGAACATGCCCCTAGTCCATAATTTACCCAAAGCTAAAACATTGTGAAAGAGGTGTCTTTTAGCTCCACCGAAATGGACTGTGCTCAATTGACTATAATATATTGCAGGAATGATCTGGAAACCAATTTTATAGCATGATCTGGAAGCCTTATGAATATCCCGACCATATTTTTTTATTTTTTCCTGACTAGTTCAGGGGCTAACTTTGTTTCTTAAGTCTTTTTGAATATTGCATGGATATAGTAGGAGCGAAGAACTTTATATATTTACCGCAAATAATCCGAAATGGCTGATATAAAGATGAGATAAAATCCATTAGGATATCCAATTGTTTTACAAGTTAGTCGCCCATCTGACAGAGTGACAGTCTGCAAATAATACCTTAACCTACCATCATGAGCCCAAGATTCAGTAGAAAATATTCCTTAAAATGTTCCATATTGTATTTATTATGGGTTATTAGATTCTTGAGTATATTTTTCCTCCCTCCTAATTTGATGGATGGTAACTTTGTTTTTCAGGTACATTGATTATTTATTTCTAGGTGATTATGTTGATCGAGGGCAGCACAGCTTGGAGACCATCACTTTGCTTCTAGCATTAAAAGTAAATTTCATCGAGTACAAATAAGTCGTGCTCAGTCCTCATGGAGTTCCTAGTGAGATTTTCTTCAATTTAACATGAAATGTTCTTTATCTTCAGATTGAATATCCCGAGAATGTTCATTTAATACGTGGAAATCATGAGGCTGCAGACATCAATGCACTTTTTGGTTTTCGTATCGAATGCATTGAAAGGATGGTACGTGTAAATGTGTGCATTTCTTTTTTGAACACTAATAACTCTATTACAATTTAGTATTTGTTCATACATTCTCAACCTATTAAAGCATATAGAGCTACTGCCCTCACTGGGGTTCAAACATGTGACCTCCCATTTGGAAGAGTCACTTTGATGCCGCTGGACCACAAGGTCTTTGGCAAAATGTGTGTATTTCTTATTCTTATTATTATTTATTTATTTTTGATATTCTAATGGCACGCAAATTCTCAGGGAGAGAGTGATGGAATCTGGGCATGGACATGTTTTAACCAACTGTTTAACCACCTCCCACTTGCTGCACTTATTGAAAAGAAAATCATCTGTATGCATGGTGGTATAGGGAGGTCAATAAATTCAGTTGAACAAATTGAGAAAATAGAAAGGCCAATTACAATGGATGCTGGCTCCATAGTGCTAATGGATTTACTATGGTGGGTTTAATTTGTTATATGCATACCAAGATTTTCATTTCCAAGCTATTTACATGCCAAATATTATTACAGGTCTGATCCCACAGAAAATGATAGTGTAGAAGGATTGAGACCAAATGCAAGAGGGCCTGGTCTTGTGACCTTTGGGGTATGAGTTATGACCTTCTGTTATCTCTGATTATGTTCCTCTCAGTCCTCAATAGATTAAACAGGGCAGGTGCAGCAAAACTAGAGAACAAATAAATCTGCAATCTTTTGGAGTTCTGATTTAGGGGTTTAACTTAGGTTGCATTGGATGTAAACAGTGGATTTGTTGGAAATGGATCGACATCCTGTCATTGCGTATACCAACATGAACTCACTTAGATCTCACTACAATTTGGGTTATTCACAACTTTTTATATGTTTATTTCTATGGTCTCTTTCAGCCTGATCGTGTTACAGATTTTTGTAAGAAGAACAAATTGCAACTAATAATAAGAGCACATGAATGTGTTATGGATGGATTTGAACGTTTTGCCCAGGGGCAGTTGATCACTCTATTTTCTGCTACTAACTATTGTGGTATGTTTTGAGAGTCCCAAACCATTCTTTTGGCACTAGGATGATTGATCTCTAAAAGTGCATGTAAATGCATTCAGGAACGGCCAATAATGCCGGTGCTATACTGGTAGTCGGAAGAGGGCTGGTTATAGTTCCTAAATTGATTCATCCGTTGCCTCCACCTCTTCTTTCCCCAGATGCATCTCCAGAACGAGTGACCGATGATGCGTGGATGCAGGTAACACCAAACTTGAGCTGTAACAATTCTTTCTGGCTGCCTAACAACTAATTAGCGTTGCGTCCTCAGGAACTAAACATTCAGAGACCGCCTACTCCCACTCGTGGTCGCCCACAGCCAGACCTAGACCGGAACTCGCTTGCTTATATATGAACGGGCATTTTAATGAACACAAGTTGCAATGTTCCGAATGAAATCCTTGCAGTTTCCAAGGGAAGTGATGAAATTGGCCATAGATTACAATTCGGGGATTTTGAGCATCACAGTTACCAATTGAGCAGGCATGCACGATTTCTCCCTTGTGTGTAACATAGCTGGTGAGATGCAGAAGATGGCTGCTGAGAGTGCGCAGACGATTCTGATTAGTTGGGAAGGTTGTAACATTAAGGTGTGTGTATTGTGAATTGTAATATGGAAATAGCTTTTAGTTTTTCAAACTGCTTTGTATTTTTTAATGATAGCATTATATGCACAGTGATGATTAGCTCCATTGATTTTAGTCTGGTAATCTTATGTTCCATTGCTCCCAAAGCTGAAGTTTCAAAGATTCTAGAGTTGATAACTAATACTAGTGTTAGAACATAGAAGTGATTAGAGTCCGTTGAGAAGATATTTGTAGTTTAATTTTGGATGTAAAAGTGAAGAAATTAAATGTAACTTGTGAAATCGCCCTAAACGCCCTCAGCTAGAGATGTTAGATGTATACGAGTTGGAAACTTGGGATTGGAAATCTTTAGCAGGTCGGTACCAATTCCGATTCATAAAGCTCGTCTCTTTCCAACTCTATATTTTGATTCAATTTTTGCACCATAGACCAGATCACATATATCAAGATTATATGTGCACACACAAATATTATTAACACTTGGAAAACAGATTTAATAATAGTGAAAAAAATAAAAATGTGAATGAAATAAGCAAAATGAGTTCGCAAAATAGTTATTTATCTTTTAAATTTATTTACTAATTTCGGAAACAATTAGTTGTTTATTTTCATTGATGTGATTCTTGAACATCTACACTATGTTTGGTTCAAAGAATTTGAAAGGAAAAAGAAAAGAAAATGAAGTGGAAAACATTTTTTCTTATTTGGTTATAGGAAAAAAGAAAGGAAAAGTGGAAAAAGAGACAAAATGTACCAGCTGGAGGGAAAACCAAATTTCTTCCATTTTGGTAAGGAAAATAAGAGGAAACCATTTTCTTTTCTTTTCCTTCCAAATTCCTTGAACCAAACATAATGCTAAAGTCCCATTTTATTCACTCTATATCTACACTTATTCAATTGTTATTATTATTTATTTATTTTTAAAATCAATAAAATCATTGTATGTGATATCTATATGGTCAATTATACAATGTTATATCTATAGCATTGCAAAACTATACATTTAAATACTACAACCAAATTTGGAGTATTGCCTATTTATGTACTTCCTATGTCTTTAAAATAAAAATAAAAAAAAATTAATAATAAAATTGAAAATATATGTACTATAAAATATAAAATAATAACTTTTTGAATAAAAATAGTTTTAATAATGATTTGCATGCAATTAATATATATATATATATATATATATATATATATATATATATATATATCTTGGTTTTTGAAATGTATAGAAGAAGAAAAAATGATTAATAGTTATAAAAATTAATATAATGCTTTGTTTTTAAAAACATATACTCCGTAACATATCCATATAGATAAAAATAAACAAATGTATCTTTTCATCTTTCTTCACTTTCATAATGAATCCATATATGTAATAATTAAGTGACACATGAGACTTGATGTGGTATTACTGTTGAGAAGAGCATGATGAGGCATGGTTGTTGGCAATAATATGCATGGCATGACACATGATCATACCCCTAGCGGGACTGTAATACTTATTACAAATGCGGGTCGGGTCGGCTCGAAGCCCACGAGAGAACCCGTGTAGGCTGGTCTCAAGTTTCAATTGTTAATTTCCTAGAACTGGTTTGTGCGTGACACCGGACTCGGTAGTCGGTGCTAAAAAAAATTCTAGTAATGCAGTCTTAATCTGACTTTAAAGTTCTTAAAACCAGTCTGTCCGGTATTTTTCTTAGGTCTACGGCCTACCAATAGTGATTTACATTGTATTTTTTCTGTGGTCGTTCAAAACTAATTTGGACGGGAACTAGAAAACAAGAATAAGGTGGAGGGTAAAAGTTTCTGGATCAATTTTTTAGTCATCATTTCGGTTTTAGACTCGCAAATTTGCTATTTTTTAAAAAAATATTTAATTATTTTAATTTGTTTTTCGAGGACTTAGTTTGGTTCAACCCTTCTTTTATTTTTTGTGATGCATTAGTCGTGTTTCACGAAATAATATTAACACAAACATATTTTAGAATATAAAAAAAGATAAAATCCATCATTGGTCCTTCAACTTTATCAGTTGTACACGATTGGTCCTTCAAGTTTCAAAAGTCCATAGATAGTCCTTCAACTTTATGAATTCTGCACCATTGGTCCTTCAAGTTTCAAAAGTTCATAAGTAGTCCTTCAGGTACACGTCAGTCCTCCAGATAAAGTCCTTTTGACAGTAAATATTAAAAGATAAACAAAATACTAGTTTCATATAATACAAGTAAATTCCATTAAGTACGACTACTCCATTTTATATGGATCTAGTATTCCATTTAACTTTTAACATTTATTGTCAAAAGGACATCATCTGGAGAGCTGATGTGTATTTGAAGGACTACTTATGCACTTTTAAAATTTGAAGGACCAATCATGCATAACTCATAAAGTTGAAGGACTATTTATGGACTTTTAAAACTTGAAGGACCAATTGTGCACAATTGATAAAGTTGAAGGACCAATGGTGGAGTTTAGCCTATAAAAAATAATCCTACCTTGATACTGTTAGAATAATAGACCAACGCTAGAGGGGGTGAATAGTGTTTGATCGTAGAAATCGCAGGAATTAAAATATAAAAAGAGAAGTAAAGAGAAGAGTAAGAGGCACACCGAATTTCACCCTGGTTCACCACAACTTGTGGCTAATCCAGCATCCCGAGAGACTCTCTCGAGCTACACTACTAACTCATTAAGCTTAACGGTGCTTAACAAACCCTTACAACTTGAGAGTTCGAGTCACACGAACCTCAACGAATCCTTCAAAGGAAACAACCCTTCCTTTGAATCCACCGAGAGAAATACTTTCTCTCAACGTGTCTAAGAACACAAATACACTCAAGAACAAGACTCTCTTATAAAGTAGATAATGAGTAAACTAAGTACGCTCAAGAACAACTCCAACTTCACACGAATTGGCTCTAAAAAGCTATGAAAATAAATGTTGTTTGAATGCAATGAAAGTAGGAGAATTGTGAAGTGAATTGGTGAGAAAAGCAGACCCAAACACCCCTTTTTATAGTGCCAAAGTAGGCTCCAACGGATCAAAATATTTAAGGGGTGATCGGCTTGATTTATGGGATTGAATAAATTTGGGATCTGCAGGATATTGGCTTCCCATCGATGTTAGGAACTTACCCATCGCTCGTAAGCCAATTTTCCTTCAATTTTGAAGCCAACGGTTACCTACCCATCGATGGGTACAAGCTTCTCATCGCTAGGTGGGAGGTTGACTTCCAAACAAGGAAAGAATCAACCTTAAATGACTTTCAACGGTCATGCCTACCCATCGATGGTATATCCTTAGTCCTTACCATCGCTGGGTTCCCATCAATGGGATAGGTTTCCCATCGCTGGGCAAGGTCGTTCTGCCTTGTGTTAATGTTGCACCAAGGCTTTAGCAGCGATGGGTAGAACTTCCCATCGCTGTTTGGCATGGTTCTGGAAGTTGGTTTGGCTTAGGGACCGCTTACCCATCGATGGGAAGATCTTCCCATCGCTGGGTGGGTGGTTAGCCAAAACCCATGGTCTTTGCCTTAACCACGGCCTAGCCAACCGATGCAAAAACCGACCGAAAAATCCAAAGTTCTCCAAAATAAAAATCAAGTGTTTGAAACACTTATTTGATGTATTTGGCTAAGAAATCAAGTGAGTTACTTTAAAAACCACGTCATTTGAGTAAAAACCACGGCTAGCCAAGTTTATGCCGTTTTGCGTGGTTTTTGTCAAACGACCAAAAGCAAAAGATGGTTTTCAAAGTGTTTTTGTTGCAGAACCGTTTAAACATGCCAAAGAGTGAAAAAAAATCATAAAATACTAAAAACCACTTGGTTGGTTTGGCTGCCAAAAACCAATGCCGATAACCGAAAGCCGAACGCTGGTTTCCGAAAGGCCGAACACTGGATGGCTTGGTTTTTGGTTTGGGCGAACACCAAGTGTTTTTTTAAAGATTTACACATGTTTGAAAAGCATTTTTATGATGTAAGAAATGCAATGAAAGATTTTAGCCTAAAGAGCCAAGGTGTAAAGATTGGGTCGGTCTTGATCACAACAAAGACCGACTCAACGATACTAAGACTAAGGTCTTCGTTCTTGGTCTTCGTTTAGCTCTTGTTCTTATCTTCGTTCTTCGCCTTGTATATTCAATGTTGGACTTGAGATCACGGCGGTTTGGCATTATCAAAACCTGTCATAAAAACAAACACGGCTTTAGTACGAAAAACGTGACAAGCCCGTGTTTCAACAATTTCCTCCTTTTTTGATAATGGCAAACGAGATGAGGTTATGCATATGAGGATTGGTTTAAAAAAATGTTATCCCTTAATAGATGCCATTTTATTTTTAACAAAGTAAAAATACCCCCTCAAATTATGTATAACCTTTATATCTTCCCCCTTTTGACATTAACAAAAAGAATGAAAGTAAACTTTAGACTTAAAAGTGAACTTTTATTCATTTAAAAGCAGGGAAAAAGCGGAATACAACGGAATGAAAATAAAGAACAATCAAACTAGGGAAAGGAAAGAAAGGAAGAGTCTAGGCATTAGCGTCATCGTCCTCGTTGTCATTGTCATCGTCATCAGCATCCTCGTCGTCCTCGACGTCCATGGGATCCCCGTCGACCGCGTCCTCAAAGTCGGCCTCGTCGGAGGAGGAGGACGGAGCATATGAGTTATCCTCCTCGTCCTCGCCTTCATAGTTTTGGCCGAGGAAGGTGTTGTCAAAGGGCGGCGGGACGTAGTTGATGCCGCGGAAGAACGCCCTCATGTCGTGGTGTTGGCGTTGCAGCGTGGTATCCATCCGCTCCAAGTATTGGCCCATGCCGTCCACGGTGATGGTTAGCCGATTCAGGGTATCGGCTATGGACTGTAAGGAGGCCTTGGCGGGAGCGGGGGCTGGTGGCCGACTTGGTCCTGCGCCGGTTCTGTCACTGGATTTCTTCCGGAAGGTGCTGTCTTGGATGATCCAAATCTTCGTCATCTTCGTATCCGGGCCGGCGATGTGGATGTCGGAGGCAACAATGAGATCCATGATGAGAAAGGCGTATGGCAACTCCTCTCGGTGGCGATGGAGGCGCAATCCGCCATGTGAATCATGACGTATTTTGCCCAATTGATCGAGGCGCCATGGGTGATAGCATGAACCGCCTTGAGATCCTCATTGAAGAGAGACGTGTGGCTACTGTCCCGGGGGCGAAGAATTCGGGTGAGGATGTAGAGAAGAAGACGCTTCTCCGGCGGGGCTGAGTGGATTGTTGGTGTGCCGCTGTGACGGATGAGGTTGGTGATCCCAAGCTCTCGGATGACCACCGCCTCGTTGTTGAGGATCCAATCATCGCCACCATATGTTGCGATGTCGTCGCCTCGGATGGGCAGCCCTGCGATCCGTGCAAAGTGTAAGTTCGTGGGGGCGCAGCGGAAATCACCAATTAAGAGCTATGCAAACAAATCAATCCACTATGCTGCAGAGAAGACGCTGCATCACTGTAACAGTAACAGATGACACAGACAGTGTGCTATAACACTTCTCTGTCACAAGTACACAGAAGCAGATGACACAGAGGGTGTTACAGCGCCTACTGGGCAGAATGCTGTAACTGTAAAAAGCGTAAAAAATAACACCAGATATGTTTACGCAGTTCGGAGCAACTCTCCTAATCTGCGGGGCCCATGTCCGTGTAATAGCCCTCCACTAAATCACTAGATGCAAGTTACACCGGTACATAACAACATGATGAGACACACTTCTCCGAATTGTTATGACAAAACTTCTAATCTAGGATTTCTAGCTCGAACTCTGTTCAGATCCGCTTCGGCTATCACATCTCCACCGAGATCACGAGGACAAACGTGTCGGCAGCCCACTCGTTCAGCTCTTGTTCATCTCCTGGACGTCACGATCTGTTTGGCGTTGAAGATCTCTTCCTTCATGTAGATCAAAACCTTCTTCACGCTTGGGAAGCTCTGGGACGCGAAGGGAACGCTCTACATCAGCGTATATTCTTTGTTTTCCCTCTCGATCGCTCCAAGTAATTCCCAGGACCTGCTGCATTTTTATAGGCCTCTCTAAACACAATCCTAGTAAGAATAGGATAGTAGAAGTTGGCTTGAACTCTACTTCCTCAATCTTGATCCACAAGTAGCCTAAAGAGTTGGGATTCCTTAGCATGTACAGCTGGAGTTATTATCATGTAATCACAATCCCAATAGGTCTCTAAATCAGATTGCAGCTTAAATTCCCGTGCCCAGACCTCTGATCCCGCACACTGTGTTGCAGCATCGTGCTGTATCATCTTCTGCGTCAACCTCAAAAACTGCAGCAGCTCTATAAGTCTAAATAAAATAGACCTCTCCTAACAAATAGAGGTTTCTACCTAGTAAAACATCTAACAAATATAGGATTCTATTTTGCCAAAAGATTAGCCAACACCATGGAACTAACACAAAGGTCGGCAAATCAATCTCTATGTCGTAGAGATTGATGCTGCTGCGGATGGTGTCCCCGTCCCGGCGGAGATTGGAGTAGAAGGCTCGGACATAGGCGGGATTGTAGGACTGACGGCTCCTGGAGACGAATGACCACAAACCCGACTCTTTGAGTTGGTTGTCGAGGTCGTGGTACCCCTTTTGTTGAGGGTATAACTCGGGCAGCACCCTGGGCGGAGAGATAGGACGCTTGGCGAAGTGCGACAGAAACCGGGTGAGTTCCTCCTCCGACCCAAACTCAAGAAACGAGCCGTCCAGGTAGGGAAACTGCGGGGGCGCTGAGGTCGTAGCTTTGGCGTTGCCCTTCTTCTTGGAGGCCTTCGACTTGGATTTTCCACCGGCCATTGTTGAGGCAAAAAAAAGATGAAGAATTATGTATAAGAGGAGATTTTGATGTGAAAATTGTGTGTTAGAATGGGTGGGGATGAAGGATATATATAGGAAAGGGTGATATTTCCGTTTGAATATGAAAAAAAAATGGCAGTTGGGCAATAAATTCAGTGACAAACGGTTAAAAAATTTGAATTTGCAGCAGGCTTCCCAGCGATGGGTAGAACTTCCCATCGATGGGAGGGTTGTCACTGAAAGCGAAGGAGAAAACAAGGCTGCCTTCCTAGCGATGGTAGGATTCACCCATCGATGGGAAGATTCATTCTGGAAATCCGTTAAAAACTTTTGATGAAAGAGTTTTTCGGTAAGTCAACCTTCCCAATGAAGGGTTACTTTTCTCCGAGTGTCGTGTCTCTCGAGGAGTGGACAAAGGGAATTAGTTAATTTTTATAATTAGGCGAAGGTTTGGACGGGTCTAGAAGCCTTCTCGATTCGATAAATAAAAATAAACTACACTACTAATCGCTTTTTAGAAAAATAAAATAAATAGTGCGGGTATAAGACTAGATTTTGGGCCAAAGCATCATCTGGGTTAACTACTGTTGTCACATATTTAATCAATAATTGGAATAATAATATTTCTGTCACAAATATTTCATTAACTTATCCTCTCTCAAGGTATCATTAATGTGTTCTAAAAAAGTTGGCCTAATTAATTTTATATCCTCATAGACAAGGTAAAAACTAATTTCCAATTATTATTTAATTTTTCTCTCGACATAATTAATTAATTTAACAATAAAAATAATTCTAGAACAATTATTCCAATTATTAAATAAACATACAGAGTATATGCCTAAATTTTACCAGAACCCTAATCCGGGTCCTAACTCATACTAGATATCAACAGTGCATAAAATAAAAGAACATTTTATTAAAAGTTGTAAAATTAAACTTACAATTGAGAGTAGAGTCAGAGCCACTTTGAGACAACCAGAACAAAACCAAACTAAAATATTAAAATAAAACTGTGAAGTGAGCTAAAAATTGGGTTCCGGGCCTTACAGACCCGGATTGGAGATGATTGAACTTCCGCCGAGCCGCGCTTTAAATAGGCAAGAAAATTCCCGGGGCGGGCTCTGGGGCGGCCGCCGGGCAGAGTTAGTGCGGACTGCGGATGACTGCTGCAAATCCTCAATTCGGAGACTTGCGTCTCCTTCCCTTTGTTTCCCTTTTATCAACTTATCCTTTCCTCTTTTTATTTTTATTTTTTATATGATGATCATTGATGATGGTGGATGACAGCTAGAACAAGACGCCACCCACTTGCAGGCTGCTGAAGTTGGGCGGCCAGCCAGGTTGCGCCACGTGGCAGCGCTTGGTTGGCCGGATTTTGATCTGATCCGAAAAATTTTTCTAAAAATACAATCTTGCTCAAAATTTTATTCTGAACAATTTTTTCTTCTGCCTCGACTTCAAATTCCGAACCAATTTGGGTCTAACGAATTAATTTGAATCAAAACAACTTTTTTAACTTTTTTCTTTTCAAACAATTTCTCTCTGATACTTTTTTAATCCGTTTGACCTCAAATTTCTTGACGGGGTGCATCTCCACAATTGAATATACAATTTTCACTTCAAGGATTTTCACCATCTTTTGCCTCTTTGCTCCACTGCATTCCATTTGCATAATCTTTTACACTTTTGTACCACTTTTGACTCAATTTTTATTCTTTTTAAAACTAGACATAACTTTTGTGCACTTTTACAATTATAAATAAAAACTTATAAAAAACCATTGAGAAATTGATTTGTTTAATCTAAAATTAGACAATAACACATTAAATATAGAGAAGATAAGTGCGTACAAAATGGACTTATCAACTTTTTAAAAAAAGTGTCAAACACCCAGCGATGGGAGGATTTACCCATCGATGGATAGGGAGGTTCTGGGAAAAAATATTTTTGACAAAAGTCCTTCACCCAGTGATGGGATGAAATACCCATCGATGGGTAAGGGGTTTCTGGAAGTCCGTTAAAATTTTAAAAAAAAATAGTCAATTACCCATCGATGGGAGAAAGTGCCCATCGATGGGAAGAGGGGTTCTGGAAAAGAGAAGACTTCCCTCCCAGCGATGGTATAACCCACCCATCGCTGGTTCCCCCTGACTTCCGGATTCCTTCACCTTGAACCGTCCCTGCAAAAAAGAGTTAGAAAACCCTCCGACGCTCAAGTTAGTAAACATTCAATCAAAGATAAAAAAGTGATAAAAAGCACAAATTAGATCATCGTGGAGTCAAGGATTCCGAGTTCGCTACGAACGCGGAAGAACGACTCTTTCTCTAAAGGTTTTGTGAAAATGTCAGCTAATTGGTTGTGTGTTTCAACAAACTCAATTTCGATATCACCTTTGAGAACATGATCTCTAATGAAATGGTGCCTAATGTCAATGTGTTTTGTCCTTGAATGAAGAACGGGATTCTTCATCAAGCTTATGGCGCTAGTATTGTCACACCGAAGTGGAACGTGACTAATACTAAGGCCATAATCCACTAGTTGTTGCTTCATCCAAAGGGTTTGAGCACAACAACTACCGGCGGCAACGTATTCCGCTTCGGTTGTGGATAACGCAACACTGACTTGTTTCTTACTAAACCATGAAACTAAGGAGCTATCAAGTAAGTGGCAAGTCCCACTCATACTTTTACGGTCCAATTTGCAACCGGCAAAGTCCGAGTCGGAGTAGCCAACGAGATGACAGGAAGAACCTTTTGGATACCACAGTCCAACGTTAACCGTCCCGACAAGGTATTTCATGATCCGTTTCACCGCGGTTAAGTGCAATTCCATCGGACATGATTGATACCTTGTGCAAAGGCATACGCTAAACACGATATCCGGCCTAGTAGCGGTAAGATAGAGAAGGGATCCGATCCGATCATACCTCGATACTTTTGGACTTCTACTTCCTTACCCTTTTTGTCTTTGTCTAGATGGTCGGACGTGCTCATCGGGGTCGCCATGGCTTTGGCGTTGTCCATTTCGAATCGTTTTAGGAGCTCCTTGCAATATTTGGTTTGGCAAATGAATGTGCCATCTTCCATTTGCTTGACTTGGAGTCCCAAAAAGAATGTAAGCTCACCCATCATGGAGATTTCAAATTCGCTTGTCATTAGCGTTGAAAATTCCTTGCACAGAGACTCGTTAGTAGCACCGAATATAATATCGTCTACATAAACTTGAACCAAAAGGATGTTATTGTTTTTACTCTTGATAAAAAGTGTAGTGTCAACCTTTCCCCTTTGGAAACCACTATCCAAAAGAAATTTACTCAAACGTTCATACCAAGTACGGGGTGCTTGTTTAAGACCGTAGAGCGCTTTCTTGAGTTTGAAGGCATGGTCGGGAAACTCAAAGTCCTCAAACCCCGGGGGCTGGTCAACATACACTTCCTCTTGAATAAAACCATTGAGGAAGGCACTCTTAACATCCATTTGATAAAGTTTAAAATCCATAGACGAAGCAAAAGCAAGATGTAAACGAATAGCTTCTAAACGTGCTACGGATGCATAAGTTTCTTCGAAATCAATGCCTTCTTCTTGATTGTAGCCTTTAGCTACGAGCCTAGCTTTGTTTCTAGTGATTATTCCATTTTCATCAAGTTTGTTACGGAACACCCATTTCGTACCAATAACCGTACAATCATCGGGTCTTGGCACCAATTCCCAAACGTCATTCCGTTTGAATTGGTTTAGCTCCTCTTGCATAGCCAAGGTCCAATATTCATCGTTTATTGCTTCGGAAATGGTTGTAGGTTCAATTTGAGAAGCAAAAGCCATGTGTCCTACGGTGTCCCTAAGTGAGTTACGAGTGCTTACCCCGCGGTTGATGCTGCCGATTACCTGGTCAAGCGGATGGTTCTTGTTTGTTCTCCATGCAATAGGAAGCTCGGTTGCTTCTTCTTCGTGTTCCTCTTGTTCTTCTTCTTCCTCTTGATTTTCTTCATCACCTTGGTTAGTTGCTTGAGGTATCTCCTCAGTTTGTGGCTGCGTGTTGGTGCATATTACCGTGTTCTCCTCATCGTCATCAACGTGTATTCTCTCTAATGAGTCTGCAAGATCATCACAAATATCCTTTCTCGCCAAGCGAGGATTATCTTCGGAAAATACAACGTGAGGGGACTCCTCAATAGTCAAAGTACGTTTATTGAAGGCTCTATAGGCCTTGCTACGTAATGAGTAACCCAGAAAAATTCCTTCATCCGACTTGGCATCAAATTTGCCTAAATTGTCTTTGCCATTGTTATGAATAAAGCATTTACAGCCAACGACTCGAAGATGGGAAAGGTTTGGCTTTCTCCCTTTGTACAGCTCATAGGGCGTTTTCATGAGTATCGGTCGAATGACGGTTCGGTTTAACACGTAGCTCGCGGTACTCACGGCATCCGCCCAAAAATACTTAGGGATTTTTGCCTCATTGATCATAGTTCTAGCCATCTCTTCGAGACATCTATTTTTGCGTTCCACCACTCCATTCTGTTGTGGTGTACGTGGGGCTGAGAAATTATGATCAATGCCAAGTTCGTCACATAAATCTGAGAATAGATTTCATTCGAACTCTCCCCCATGGTCGCTTCTTATGGCTACTATGGTTGTTTCTTTTTCATTTTGAACTTTCTTTAGAAAACTTTTGAAAACATGAAATGCCTCACTTTTATGAGTTAGAAACAAGGTCCATGTAAACATAGAGTAGTCATCGATAATCACAAACGCAAAGTAATTGCCACCAAAACTTTTCGTTCTAGAAGGACCAAAGAGATCCATGTGCAAAAGTTGAAGCAGTCTTGACATGCATCACATATGGTGTCTTTTTCAAACTTAAGTTTTGGAATGCCAATTACTAAGTCCTGTGAAACCAATTTGTTCAAAAGGTTCATGTTCATATGAGCTACCCTTCGGTGCCATAACCAGGTGTCTTCCTCTTTACTCATGAGGCACTTAGCAAAGCCAGAAGGAGATTTGTCTAAGTTAACCATATATATGTTATCGATTCTATCACCACGTAGTATGACCTTATTGTCACTAAGGCGTTCTATTGTGCATGATTTTGAATCGAAGGTCACACGGTTTCCCTTGTCACATAATTGACTTATGCTCAAGAGATTGTGTTTAAGACCTTTAACAAGCAAGACATTATCTATAGAGGAGTCTTCGGACTTACCTACTGAACCGATGCCGATAATTTTTCCTTTGCTGTTATCTCCAAAGATTACGTTTCCTCCTTTAGCGGGTTTGATTTGTAGGAACTTGGATGCATCTCCGGTCATGTGCTTGGAGCATCCGCTATCAAGGTACCAAAGTACACTTGACGCCTTCAAGCACACCTACAAAAATGATTTAATAAGATTTAGGTACCCAAGTCTTTTTGGGTCCTTCAGTGTTAGGTGCAAAGTGGTAGTGTGATTCATTTTGTGCCCAGTGCATATGCTTAGTAAAGCAAACAGGAGCTATATGTCCTACCCTATTGCAATAGTGGAAAACTACATTTGGGTTGTGTATCCTCCTAGGTTGATAGTAGTTGCTAGGGGGCCTAACCATATTCATTCTGTTTTGAGAAAATGTTGATTTCTGGAAATTCTCTCTTTTAGGTGTTCTAGAGTTATTTGGTCTATTTGAAAAATTATTTTTATGCACAAAATCATTTTGAAAATTTTTCTTAGGTTGTCTAGGATGCACATTTTCAATCCTAGGTTTTAGTCTAGGTTGTCTAGTGTCCTTAGGTTGACTAGATTTTCTATTATCCTGATTTTTAACTTTCTTACGTTGAGCCTTAGTGGGTTGTCTAGGTGTTCGCTAAACGTTTTTATCCTTATTTTTATCAAAACCTATTCCTTCCTTAGAAAAGTGCAGAGTGTCAAGAAGTAAGTTAAGATCTTTGTGTGGTGTATTGAATTTCTTAACCGTACTCTCAAGTTTTTCAACTTTTTCTTTTAAAGCTTTGCAAGATTCACATTCACTTGAGGAGCTTTCTGGTTTATCAGCGCTTCTTTTGCCATAAAATTTGTTTTTTTGTTTCAACCTTTCATTATCTTTTTCTAGTTTTTCAAAATCATTTTCAAGAGTTGAAAGACGTTTGTTTAATGATTTGTTGGTTTTAGAAGCGCTAACAAATTCATCATAAAGCTCTTGAAGTGCTTCTTGCATCTCCTCAAAAGTGTAAGAGTCGGAGTAAGGGGTACATACCTCTTGTATTTCGTCGACGTGGTCTTCGTGTGCCATGAGACAGAGGTTGGCGGCTTCCTCCTCTTCTTGGTCAGTTGAATCATCGCCGGAGTCACCTCCCCATGAGATATAGGCACGTTGCTTTTTGAAGCCAGGTTTGTCCTTGCCGCTTTTGCCTTTTGGACACCTCGACTTGATGTGGCCTATCTCACCACAGCCATAGCACTTCGGGGGTCCGTCGTGCTTCCTTCCTTTGCGCTCGAATTCCTTCTTCATAAATTTGTGGAATTTCTTGATGACGAGTCCAAACTCGTTGTCATCATCACTTGAGTCTTCTTCCACGGTCTCCTTGGTTGCTTTCAGTGCTATTCCCTTCTTCTTTTGTTCATCCAACGACGGGGTTAGAATAGTAGATTCATAAGTTTTGAGGTTACCTCTTAGCCCGTTGATGGTGACATTTGAGACTCCGATGGATTCATAAATTGCGTCAGCCTTTGATCTCCATTCGGGTGTGAGACTCCGCAGGATTTTTCTCACAAGGTCCTTGTTGGCGTACGTTTTCTTGAGAGCGTGAAGGTCGTTGATGATCTTTGAGAACCGATCAAACATATCATCGATCTTTTCACCTTTCTTCATCCTGAACATCTCGTACTCTTGCGTTAGGAAGTCAATTTTGGTTTCCCAAACTTGGTCTGTACCTTCATATGTGACCTCCAGCTTGTCCCACATTTCTTTGGCAGTGGTGCAGCAAGAGATCTTGCGGTAATCATCAGGGTTGACCGCGCAGTACAGCATGTTGATTGCCTTGGCGTAGTTCTCCACCTTTTTGATGTCTTCAGCATCAAATTCGTCCTCGGTCTTTGAGACGAGTTTTTCACCGACCTTCTTCATTGGCGTTTCTTCTCCGTTTTTTATGACCAACCACAACTGAAAGTTGGTTGAGCGGATATAAATTCTCACCCGCTCTTTCCAATATGTGTAGTTGGTGCCATCAAAAAGCAGTGGCCTAGAGGTTGATTGACCTTCTCCAGTTCCTGCATAAAGATTTTTAGAAGAAGAACCCATGATCGCTTTACTCTCAAACGGTTAAGTTTGGACGCGAGTTAGGCTCTGATACCAAATGTTAGAATAATAGACCAACGCTAGAGGGGGGTGAATAGCGTTTGATCGTAGAAATCGCAGGAATTAAAAAATTAAAAGAGAAGTAAAGAGAAGAGTAAGAGGCACACCAAATTTTACCCTGGTTAACCATAACTTGTGGCTAATCCAGCCTCCCGAGAGACTCTCTCGAGCTACACTACTAACTCGTTAAGCTTAACGGTGCTTAACAAACCCTTACAACTCTAGAGTTCGAGTCACACGAACCTCAACGAATCCTTCAAAGGAAACAACCCTTCCTTTGAATCCACCGAGAGAAATACTTTCTCTCAACGTGTCTAAGAACACAAATACACTCAAGAACAAGACTCTCTTATAAAGTAGATAATGAGTAAACTAAGTACGCTCAAGAACAACTCCAACTTCACACGAATTGGCTCTAAAAAGCTATGAAAATAGATGTTGTTTGAATGCAATGAAAGTAGGAGAATTGTGAAGTGAATTGGTGAGAAAAGCAGACCCAAACACCCCTTTTTATAGTGCCAAAGTAGGCTCCAACGGATCAAAACATTTAAGGGGTGATTGGCGTGATTTATGGGATTGAATATATTTGGGATCTGCAGGATATTGGCTTCCCATCGATGTTAGGAACTTACCCATCGCTGGTAAGCCAATTTTCCTTCAATTTTGAAGCCAACGGTTACCTACCCATCGATGGGTACAAGCTTCCCATTGCTGGGTGGGAGGTTGACTTCCAAACAAGGAAAGAATCAACCTTAAATGACTTTCAACGGTCATGCCTACCCATCGATGGTATATCCTTACCATCGTTGGGTTCCCATCGATGGGATAGGTTTCCCATCGCTGGGCAAGGTCGTTCTGCCTTGTGTTAATGTTGCACCAAGGCTTTAACAGCGATGGGTAGAACTTCCCATCGCTGTTTGGCATGGTTCTGGAAGTTGGTTTGGCTTAGGGACCACTTACCCATCGATGGGAAGATCTTCCCATCGCTGGGTGGGTGGTTAGCCAAAACCCATGGTCTTTGCCTTAACCATGGCCTAGCCAACCGATGCAAAAACCGACCAAAAAATCCAAATTTCTCCAAAATGAAAACCAAGTATTTGAAACACTTATTGGATGTATTTGGCTAAGAAATCAAGTGAGTTACTTTAAAAACCACGTCATTTGAGTAAAAACTACGGCTAGCCAAGTTTACGCCGTTTTGTGTGGTTTTTGTCAAACGACCAAAAGCGAAAGATGGTTTTCAAAGTGGTTTTGTTGGAGAACCGTTTTAACATGCCAAAGAGTGAAAACAAATCATAAAATACTGAAAACAACTTGGTTGGTTCGGATGCCAAAAACCAATGCCGATAACTGAAAGCCGAACGCTGGTTTCTGAAAGGCCGAACACTGGATGGCTTGGTTTTTGGTTTGGGCGAACACCAAGTGTTTTTTTAAAGATTTACACATGTTTGAAAAGCATTTTTATGATGTAAGAAATGCTATGAAAGATTTTAGCCTAAAGAGCCAAGGTGTAAAGGTTGGGTTGGTCTTGATCACAACAAAGACCGACTCAACGATACTAAGACTAAGGTCTTCGTTCTTGGTCTTCGTTTAGCTCTTGTTCTTATCTTCGTTCTTCGCCTTGTATATTCAATATTGGACTTGAGATCACGGCGGTTTAGCATTATCAAAACTTGTCATAAAAACAAACACGGCTTTAGTACGAAAAACGTGACAAGCCCGTGTTTCAACAGATACGCTCTTCCAAAAATAATCTCACCTTTCATTACGCATAATAATTCGATATTTTCATTTGCGTGCGTGTGTTGGGTAGAGCTGTGTTGGATATATGAGCCCTAGTGGCCAATGTATGAAAGTATCTGAAAATTTATCAAGAATAAAAGGCTCTAAAGATTGGTTATACATCTCGTGTATCTAAACATGACTTTAGTCCATAGACTTAGCGCTCTGGTACCATAGATTAGAACTATGATGTCATGATTAGGAGGGTGTTATATTAATAGCGGCTTTGTCTAAAATGTCCTTAATAAAATATTATGATAATACGGACGTCATAATTTACAAAGACTAATACGCATGAGATAAGATAGATGCGTCTCATAGGCTATGGATATTGTGGCATCTCAATCTATACGTAGGTACATATCTAGGATATGGTACTAGACTGACATGAGAATACTACATGGGTATTATTTTAAATGTATTAGTAGTATTCTCATTCGACCATTGGTATAACTATTTGAGGTCATTATGATTTTAATATGTTGACTTATATGCTTTGATTCATATCTAATGCCATCTGAAATACTGGTGGGTGTACAGTTATGTTTTGTGTATATATAGTTAAACAAATGTAAAGGCATGAATGACGTAGAAATAATTTATCCCTTCCATTGTGATGAAGTGCAATGTCTTCAGGCTCATTGATTGATATGACTTGGGAAGTGTATGGCCATACCCAAATATATTAATATATGGGATATATATATATATATATATTAATGTTTTTTGAATCCCCCAAGTCAAATTGAGAATCAGTAAACCAATGATTTAACTCTAACAAGGTTACACTTTTCATACCTTATGTTAAATCTATACATTAGTGATAAAGGGATAAGAGTTATACCAATGTAATGTATCACTGGACGTATTGTTGCAATGAACTTTATCGGGTAAAATGTAAATTATTATTACCCTAATCAGAACGGTACATCAAAATCCAATGCTGAACAGCTGCATACATCACTGCACTTCCACTTGACACCTATTGTAATGATAAACGGCTCGTCTCGCCGTGACCTTCTTCACAAAAACTTCTGTCGCTCCATCCCCGCAGGGGCAAAGAACCCGTCGCTGCTACCGGAGCTCTGGGGAAGTCAGAATGGGAGAGCACTCATCTTGAGGTGGGCTTACTACTTAGATGCTTTCAGCAGTTATCCGCTCCGCACATAGCTACCCAGCGTTTACCGTGGGCACGATAACTGGGACACCAGAGGTGCGTCCTTCCCGGTCCTCTCGTACTAGGAAAAGGTCCTCTCAATGCTCTAACGCCCACACCGGATATGGACCGAACTGTCTCACGATGTTCTGAACCCAGCTCACGTACCGCTTTAATGGGCGAAAAGCCCAACCCTAGTGAATACAACAACAATACAACATCAATACATCAACTTGGCACGCAGGCCGTACAAATAAACAATCAAAACAAGTATCAGAGTGGTCAAACACAAAAAGTGGTAGTCCATGTCCTGGCTCCGTGTCAGCTTCCAGTACTCCGCATCACTAGGCTGCAGTATGGCAGGCCAAAACGAGAGCATTGAGGGAGCATATGTTGGTGGTATCATGCCAAGTACATATACTCCCTCCCCAAGGACTCAAATCAAGCACACAAGATCCATCGACTCCATCAAAGGTACTCCAAAATATAAATTCCAAATTATGTTTTATCCATAAAATCCATCCGAGGCATGTGCTCTGTGATTATTGCCATAGATTCTACCGGTAAGCCAAGGGGGGCCCATCCCTGAATGCAAGAAGTTGTCTACCCTCGTTGAGGAATACTTGGTAAGTTTCATCCTCATCCAGACGGGGTACAATGTCCTAGGTTACCCTTTAAAGCCTCCATCTATTTGTTGCCCTCAGTTTTGGCTCTGACACAACAAGTAGATAGGCAGGGACCAAAGCAAAAACAACCCCACGTGCAAAGAGATACGGCCCAAAAAGCCCAGGTTCTTCCAATCCCCAACCGAAAGGGTACAGAAGAGTCCAGGCAAGCCTTCCAGTAAGTCAAAGTGGCAAAAGATACCTGAAACCAGCCCCAATAAAAGGCAAAACCTTCACCAATGAGAAGGGGAACTCTTAACATCACTAAAGGCTGCATGGACAGCAACTTCAGTGGGTTTCCATCTGCAATATCCAGCCCACAAAAGGTCAACAAATAGGATTTCCAATAACAATCATCTGATCATGCCTAAAACAGCCCCAGAACCCAGCAAAAACAGCTTGTTACTGTCCATGGATAGCAGTAATAATACCCACTGTCCAAACGGCAGCAGCATAAATTATACAAAAAAAGAAGCAAAACACCACTACGTGGTCAAACAGACAGTCCTCTTAACAGGGCCAGTCACACCCAAGGCACAAGGTTACAAGTTCCCTCCTCTTCAACAATTTCCAAACAGCCACCAATGTCCAGGGCTCAAATCAGTCCTTACCTCATGCAAATGAAGTAAGGTATGACATTGTTGAGTGTTTAGGAGGTTGAGGGAAAGGTGAGAAGTTCACCAAGGCCCCCAGTTACCAGTCCCAGCAGCAAGGCTTAGCCAAAAAGCTCAGTCCATTCTCCCAAAAGAGCAGGTTTTGTTCTGTGCAGATCAACTGGTGGTTCCAAAGCCACACTCAGTATCAACTCAGTTCTGGCTCTTCATTACAACCCCATGGACCCCAAAATAGCAGTGGCACAATGTGTTTGACCTCCATTTGGAAGGGCAGTGTCACAATGTGTTTGACATCCACACTGTCAAAATGCATCTTCATCCTACAATCTCCTGGCCAGAGGAAGCACAAAGCAGCAGCAATAACCAATTGTTTACAAGGGGAGTTCAGGGAAGTTCACCCCCAGCTGAGGTGCATTTCAAACACTCCAGCCCCACCCTCATAACCATTAAGGCCATCCATGGTACCAGGCACTCCTCACCATCCACAACCACCAAAACAGAAAGGGCAAACCAAAACAACAAGCCTAAAAGCAACAGGAACTCACAGGAGTGTGGCAAGGGGTTCACATCTCAGACGTCAAACATACGTGAAAGCAGACAAGTGTTGTTGAGTAAAGCATCAACACCATCACAAAGAAACAAACATAAGTCCACAAAAGCTAGGCCAAAAACAAGCAAAAACCTGGGACAGTTCATGTACCACAGTCGCGCTGTGCACAGTAATTACGAAAGTCAAAACGTCTTGGATCAAAAGAAAAATCAAATGATGTTGAAATCCAACTTCATAGCTGGAAGTGAATGACAAACCGATCAGAATTTCAGAAGAATCGCTAACCAAAACCCACGGATCAACTTGAATCAGAGAATCAAAATTGCGAATGAACGGTGCCGGGCACAGCGTTTACCTTCGAATCTGCCAAAATACGTAACCAAAATCAGCGAGATAACCTTCGATTAGGATTCACCTGCTGAAGGCGCACCCAAGGCTCCAAAAATCTCAAGAAATGAGCTAGAATCGATGGAAGGAGAGCATTTCTCAGTCCCGTGGCACTGTTCATCTCGCGAGTCTAGTGAGAGAAACCCCAGCCTCCATATTATTCTATTTGTTTATAACATGGTAGTGATAATGTATTGATAGATAGTGCTTATTGTTTATAGTATTAATTGTGATTAATACTTTTGTCATCGTTATGAATACCTAGAAAGATCACACACATAGAATAATTGAACGGAGTAGAAAATTAAATGGAATGATGTAAAATAATATGGGACGTGTGATGTACATATTAAATAATTATGTTGACATTTTAATTATGTGATACTCCCTTCGTCTCAAAAAGATCGTTACATTTCATTTCTTTGCGCATCACAAAAAGCAATGCTACTCACATCTAAAAATTCTAAAATTTACTATATTTACTCTTTATTCTAAGATGAAATTGTTTTGAAATTTTTTTTGGCATTTGAGACGATATAAAAATATTTTAAGAGATGCACAAAAAATGAAACGTAACGATCTTTTTGGGACGGAGGGAGTACATATTAAATAAATATATTTTATTTGTATGCATGGGCCGAAATAAAGAGTTGGAAAGAGGAAGGAGTTTGTGTTGATACACAACTCTACTTCCACAAATATAGGAGAATTTATCTCCTTAAAGAGCAAGATCACACGCCATTTTGTTGGTTTGGCTCTCCATCTCTTGGAAGGAGGGAGTTTGCTTGTGTTGATACACAACTTTACTTCCACAAATATAGGAAAATTTATCTCCTTGAAGAGCAAGATCACACGCCATTTTGTTGGCTTGCATTGGCTCTCCATCTCTTGGCCGAAAATTTCAAAGAAGAAGAAAAGAAAATTTTCTTCATCATTCTAATTTTATATTTCTATATTCAAGAAATATTTTAAGAAGAATTTACTAGCATAAATTCCTCTTAGAACACCGTTCATTGTTCGTGTGGACACGCTAGAGGTGGGATTCATTTATGACTAGTTCATTGCTCCAGTCCCTTTACATGCACCGTCCAATTTGTTTTCTACGAGAAAAGGTATTTTCCTAACAATAATTTATAGTTTTAAGATGATCTTGGATGGTAAAGACGATTGAATATTAAATTTTTGTTTTCCGTTGTGCTATCCATGTGTGGTTACCCAACTAGCTGTTCTCGATCCAAGATCTAATTAGATCGAATCAAAGACCGAATTGAATACAATTACGGAGCAAAAATCGGACCTAAATCTATTTGAGTTTCGACCAGACCCGGATCAAAATACTTAAGACGTACTGAACTGGTTTGGACCAAATAAAAATATATTTTTTTTAGTTATTCTGATCAATTAAGTATTTTTGTAGGCTTTTTATTTTGTACCATGCAAATAGAAAAAAAATAAAAAATAGACAACCTAAAAATAGATACATAGCATGGACTACTATGTAGAATCATAAAAACTAATGTAAAACTTTTTTTGAATTATTAATATAAAATTGCTTGATAAAAAACCTTGTTAATTTAATAAATTAAGATCTACTCCGTATTAAAATAGAGCATCAAAATGTAATACGAAACATAAAAAGTAGAGTTTTAGTACTTAGGTCTTTTAGGTGCAAATGAGTTATACGTCCATTCTGTCCAATCAGTCCGGACCTAAATCATTTTGGGTTTTGACCGGACGTGATCAAAACCTGAATACCTAAACTTTTTGGACCAAAGACCAACCTGAAATCCATTCGATCCGAGATCAGTCTAGAACAAACAATCCGGTTCGGTCAGTTTTTTTTGTCTAAACCTAAACTTGAAGAGCCGTAGTTTTGGGTTGTCCTTAGGTACCTAACGGTGGCCTAACATTTTTTAAAATAGATCATGTTGCACAACAAAATGAAAGGTATATTTATTTGATGTAAAATTTACTTTTTTAAAAAAATTAAAATTTGAAATAATGTTTAAAAATTCCATGGTACGGCTTTGTCATAGATTTGTGTGCTTTAGAAATGTACTCCGTAACAGTTTACAACTTTATAGTGTTTTAGGAAAGAAAATTAGTAATGTATTATTGAAAAAATAATTTGTGTTGTCGTTTCATGAAAAAATGATATTGAGTAAAATGAAAATTTACACAAATACTTCTAGAATTGCATGAGTGTACATAATAACACCGAGATTCGTTAAATAAAATTAATGTTCTAAAATTTTTCTATATTTACATCGTCACTTTGAGAATTGATACTCCGTATATATTTACTTATGTGCTCTAAATGTGGGCACTGATGTAAACACGTCAATTCTCGGAGCGCTTATGTAAATATAAAACCTTTATGACAGCATTGATGTCATATATTGAAGGAAAAATTACCCAAAATAATCCTAACTTTACCCGGTTTTTCAAAAATAATCCCATCTTCCACTGTGATGCATAATAATCCCAACTTTATTGAAATTTGTCAATTTTGGGTCGTCGTTATGTTTCTAACGGAGGGTTAACGGAAATGTCCATTTTAGACAACAAAATGAAAGTTGGGATTATTTTTGATGAATTTTTATTTTTTAATTTTTTTTTAAATTTTTATTAATTTTTTTTGAATTACTCTCAACCTCCATTTCTTTTTCTTGTTTAAAGATTATTCTTACCTTAGAAAAAAATAGATATAAAAATAATGAAAATGACATAAATAACTAAAATAGTACAAATTAATCAAATAAATAATGTAATCAATAGAAATTAAACAGAAACTGGTAAGAAATAAAATAAATATATATGGAGTGGTGGGTTTTAACATTTTACACACTATACAAGTCTTAATATACTACTTATTTTTTAAAAGATCAAGCCGTCCGGTAAAATTGGAATTATTGTAGATAATTTTTTCTAAAAAATAAGTAGTGATATGTTAATACTTTGTATAATACGTAAAATATTAAAACCCACCCGTATATTTTTATTTTACTCTTGCCAATTTCAAGTTAGTTTCCATTGATTACCTTATTTATTTTATTATTTTTGTATCATTTTAGTTACATTTCTCATTTTTTCATTTTTTATATCCATTATTTTTATTTTTTAAACTAATACTAATCTTTAAAAAAGGAAAAAGAAATGATGATGGAGGTAGAAAGTAATTAAAAAAATTTAAATAAAAATGAAAAAAAAATGAAAAAAAAATGAAAATTCATCAAAAATAATCCCAACTTTCATTTTGTTGCCCAAAACGGGCATTTCCGTTAACCCTCCGTTAGAAACTTAACGGCGACCCAAAATTGGCAAATTTCAGTAAAGTTGGGATTATTATGCATCACAGTGAAAGGTGGGATTATTTTTGAAAGACCAGGTAAAGTTGGGATTGTTTTGGGTAATTTTTCCTATATTGAATTCCATCATACTTATCTAAACTTGTGCAATTATGACATTGTATTTGTATGAATTTTTCTCAAATAAGAAAAGAAAATAGTTCGTATTATGGTTGCAGCAAGTATCTTGTACAGGATCTGCGCCAATAATTGAAGGGCAAAATGTGCTCTCCCAAGTCGCATACAGTTTATCCAAGTTTTAGGTGCTCAATAGTCAATATTCCTTCCTCTCATTTGATAATTTAGTCTTCAATGTAACACTTTAATCATTAATATTTATATCTATATATAGATATATTTTATGCAAATTTAAAATTTCAAAACAACATTTCATAAAGAGACTATTGACATTATATCTATATCGAAAGACAATATTTTTTCCAGATATCGAAGTCAAGATTTATAAACTTTGACCAGGGGAAGTAAAATAAAAAGATCATTTTCGGACGGAGAAAATATTTAACTTAGATAAATATCCTCTGGTCCCAAAATTTGACTTTTTTTTGTTTATTATTACAAGCTAAATATGAACTATGTAAAACTCCTCTATCCCTTAAAGACTTTCTTCTTTTTTTCTTGTCCCAAAATTCCTTTCTCTTTTTTATTAAAAATCACATTTATCCATACCAATTACCATAAGTATTAGTAGACCTGCACAAATAAGAGTCGGCCCGTCCAATCTGTCTATACTGCTCCTAAAGTCGACGGATATGGAAAACTATATGAACCTATCAAGGCTGGTATAGCCCAGCCAACAAGATGAATGGGCTTGGACTTTGAGTTTGGCCCGAATGGGCAGTAGGCCCGCTCACATTATATAAATATATAATATACACACATATACTCCTTAATACACTAATATATTATACACATAATATGTCATACAATTATTTCTTTTTGAAACAATATTATATAATACTCCCTCCGTCCCAAAAAGATTGTTACATTTCATTTTTTGCGCATCCCTTAAAACACTTTTATATCATCTCAAATGCCAAAAAAACTTTCAAAACAATTTCATCTTATAATAAAGAGTAAATATGGTAAATTTTAGAATTTTTAGATGTGAGTAGCAGTGCTTTTTGTGATGCGCAAAAAAATGAAATGTAACATTCTTTTTGGGACGGAGGGAGTACTTCGTATGATATAATTCATTATAACATGAAATAAAACAATAGACTCATAAAGTAATTCATTAGAACACTGGCAGCGGGCAAGGTAAATGCCCGCTGCACGCTTGCCACATCAGCTATTGACAAATAATTGTCATGTTTAGCATGGAGAAGCAAGTCATTCCACCACGAAGAGCAAGCCATCTGCAAGGCACCCCACACTTCTTTTTCTTTTTTCCTTTTTTTATTTTTATTTTATTTTTTTATTTTTGAGAAAAAGAACTTTTTTGTGAGGTAGAAGTATTTTTTTAATGAAACAAATAACAAAAATAATTTTTAATAATTAAAATACATTACAAAAATTTAAAAAGTGACAAAAGTAACAACTTGCTATTATATGGTGTCACTCCACTCACTTGCCACTCTGTGACTAGACTATTTTTTATTGGTTGATTTATGTCATCATGTCAACATGTGACATTCTTTTTTTCCTTGCCATTGTTCATACTCCAAAAAACACATGAGGGCTTGTCCCCCCCACCCCCCCCCCCCCCCCCCCCAAAGATATATGGGCAAAAAGTAGGCCTCATGCCTAGCCCAAAATCATGCCCGAATCCGTGTTTGTGCAGATCAGCAGTATCACATCATACCTTTTTATTACTCTAATAATTTATACTTTATATCCTACTTTTATCTAACACCTCAAAAATAATTTGGAAAAATCAATACAAAAGTATTTCTTCTTTACATTACATAAAAGTCAAAACAATGAGATTTTAGAGACGGATGAAGTGTTTACTTACGTAGTATTGTAGTCACTCTGTCCCAATTTGGACTACAATTGGGATTTACAAGGCAAAACTCCACATCTTTTGAAATTATTTTATTTATAAATCAATACGTCACTAAAAAATAAAATTACTTAGTCATAACATTAATTTATATAACTTCATATTTATTAACAGTTGAGTCAAAAAATTAACGATTAAAGTATATAAAGATTTGACCCAAAAAAAGCACACAATTTTTTTTTTCTTCGAGAGAGTAATTGTGTTCAACAGTTATTTGAATAGAGAGCACTTAAATTGATACAAATGGGGTATTTAATTCCAATTGTTAAATACTCTGTCTAGGTATCATTTTCAGATGCAATGCTTCTAAAGGAGATCAGCTTCATAATTACAATAATATGCAAGGCTAATTATAATTTGAGGGTCAGCCACAGTTCACAAATGCGTCCAAATAACATCTTTTTAATTTGCAAACTAAATACAGGGCATGCATACTTCTTGCATGAATTAAGCCGCCACCCACAAAAACACAGGAAAAGAACAATTCCACCAGCGGAAGATGTAGAAGCACGCTAGTACCACGGAAATGCACTGTCCAGAATGCCTATGGTGTATTAGTGTGGCCTTTCTTCTCTCTTGAAATATTCAAAGACTTCAGCCTAGATGCTGATCTCATAGAGTGTATTAAAGGGACTTCTTCCTCCTCTTCTTCGTCTGCATCTTGCTCAGATTCACTGATAGAATCCTCCTCATCTTCACTGGAATCAGGCTCGTCAAAGAGTTTCTTCCCCTGTAAGTTCTGCTTCTTACGAGGACGCCCACGGCGCTTCACAGACATACCTTCTTTTTCATCTGTAACCAAAAAGGCCAAACCCACGTTGTTACTCACATCACATTCTCTGACTCTAACTCATGATGGATGTGACAGGAGGGTATAGATCCAAAATGTTTACTACTGAAGGCACAAGATTAAGAGACTACAGCACATTAGAAAACTTCAAGAGAAAATATACCTTGGAAACCCTCATCCTTCACATACTTCTCTCGTAGGGTCTCCACAAATGTTAAAACAGGGCGCCATCCGCTTGGATCTTCATCTGTATTTACATTTGCAATTCTTCCTTCAACATCCTTCAAGCTGCCAATGACAATAATAAGCACCCCTCTTCCAGGGTTTGTATATATAGGCATAACATCAAGAACATATTACTTTATTAGATGTGTATGTGTGCGTTGTATACTGTAGAATAGTTATGACAGCTGTAGGGCAGCTGTTATCATCTTCATAAAGAAGCCATAGCCTGCATAGCGCAGTTACAACCTCCATGGGCAACCTCTATTTATGACCATCACCTCAAAGTGTTTACATGTTTGAAGTACATGTTCAAGCCAAAGTTTATTTCAAGTCAGTTATATAAGTTTGTGTATAGTCACATTCAAGGCCAAGTCCAGTTCCAACTTAGGCTTGTCAGCTTCAAGTTGTTTCAAGTTTAAGGTTGGATTTTCAGATCAAGACGACTTTGAGTCAAGTCAAACTCATGTTTACATATTACAAATTTTCATGTTTTTGTCAACTCAAATCCGAGAACAGTGTAAGAAGTTTGGTAAATATAATGATCATCTTGACTGTAGAAGAACAGCAACAAATCCTGTAAAATCCGTTAGAGTGGGGTCTGATGAGGGGGAGTATGTTTGTATGCAGACTTTACTTGGAGAGTAGAGAGGCAGTTTCCAAGAGACCATCAACTCAAAACACAAAAGCACTGCAACGAAGGAAGGTAGCCTAAAGAAAGTAAGAACACAAACAAAAACAAATAGACATGCAGAAATCACAAACTTAGGCACAAAAGCACAAAAGTAAAAGCTATAAACATTGTCCCAAAGGTCTACCCTACCTCCAGACAATCTTACCTAAGGCCATATCCTTGGTAGGATCCTGAAGTAATAAGTCATGTCTAATCACCTCCTTCCAACCAAGGTTGTTTAAAATTGAGATCTGCCTCACAGGATCAAACACTTCTACGACCCATTTACCTCAACGCAATCTGGATTGCTTCTTCATTCGAAAACTTCGGAATAACCTAGGTCTCCAAGTCGAACACTAGAATCGTCAGACTCGATGAGACTTTTTGCAGCTTTAATTTATAATTAAATAACTAAGATGATGTTTTGCATTGCTTTTGGTTCCATATTTTGTGTTGGATTACTTAGGTAGAAGCATTTTGGTAATGCTTCATAGAGCTTTTCGTGTTTGATTCTTAGCTTCTGAGGGATGCTTTCGGATTTTGTATTTGGAATAATCAATTCTCCAAAACATTAAAAAAGGCCAAACACTCTCTAAGTCTGTACAAGGTGCTAATAATATTTATTTGCTGCACTTGAATATAACTGTTGTTCCCATCCTGCCCACCCAGGCTACCTAAGGGCCTGTTTGGTAAGTGCAGGAGATATGGGTTAATGATATTCTCCGATATCAGCAGGGTATTTGGAAAAGCCTCAAGTCCCAAAACAAGGTTTGAATTTGATATCTCCCAATATCGCAACCCTCCCAAATGGGGGTGTTTTGATATCTGCCTCAACTGCCTACCACCACCTCCAGAAACCCACCCCAAAACCCACCCCGCTGGCCACCCACCCATTTCAGATCTCTCCTAACACTTTTATTTCAGATTTTAGAACCCAGATAATTTCTTCAAGATTTCAAAACTCATATCACATCAACTCTCTAAATCTCAAAACATAGACCCTAAAATTGTGGCTGTTGGATTTGACTTGGGTTTAGGTCAGCTACCTCCCGTTAATGTGGCAACAGCGAGATACAGCCCAAACATTCCCTCCCGCCATAGAGCAAAAACAAAAGAGAAGACTAGGACTTCTTGAACTGAATGAGTTTCTTTCTCTCTTCTAGCTCCTAGCAGTGTAGCCCCAACTGGCCTAACCTTACTTTATTCACTGGTAAGGAGTTTGAAGCATGTATAGTAAAAAATGTTCAAGATCAAGATATTCAACTCTACTTGATAATATACTCCCAAATAAGGTTCAACATTACTATTCAGAGAGTCAAAGCATATCATCTTCCCTTGCATACTTCCATTGGTCATTTGATAAAATAAAATAGTCAAAACACCTCTTGTGTTGTATAAATTTTGATGAAATTCTTAAATATATAATTTTATTTTTTTGAATTGAAAATAACATCAACCAACCATCGTAAACTGAATCAAGAACCTTATTTTGGGAGGACTAATGGACTATCTTTTTGTAAGGAAAAAAGGCTTATGCAAAATCTTTCCTTCTATCTAGTTCAAATCAATAAAAAGGGAGAAAAATAGTGGAATCCAACTCAATGTTTCCAAGCTTTTTGTGCAAGGCAAAATGAGAGAAAAATTAAGGTGAAAAATACATGTAATCATATAGCACAATAGCTCAACATCTCTACAATTAACACCATGCACATTCTAGAACAAAAGTGTTGGTGATGTGTAGTCATCGGCCCAAAGTGGCCCACTTATAGACAACTGAGAATTAGGAGACCAGATTAGGGTTTCGGCCGGCCCAAATGGTTTTAAGCCCAATTTGCTATAACTTGTCCAGCAAGGGTTAAACCCTAATTAGTTGTCTATATATATGATCTCCTGTACTTGTAATCATCATCACTCAATAAAACAAACCCTAGTTGCCCCTGTGGATGTAGGTCAGATTAGACCGAACCACGTTAAATCTCGTGTTCTCTATTGCTTTCTTGCTTTCTATTCGTGTGTGTGCTTTTGTTCTTCACAACTGGTATCAGAGCCTAGGTCATACACACAGATCTGCCTCCACTGCCAACCCTAGCGACTCTAGGGTTTCTGCCGACACATCAGAAGACCACCGAGATAGTCATCTGTGGGCAGTCCGAACAACCTTGCTGTTCAGTTTGCTGCTGCAATTTTCGAGGTCAGTTCTGGTTGTTTGTTTCAATCTGTTCTCACGTGTTCTCTGGTCAGAACTGGGATACTCAGAAGAGATGATGTCTGAGGACGGAAAGATTAGGATAGAGAAGTTTGATGGGCAAGATTTTGGATGGTGGAAGATGCAAGTCGAGGACTTGCTATGTCAGAAAGATCTTCTTCCATGTTTGACAGGTCAGAAACCCGAGAAGATGAAGGATGAAGAATGGGCTGATTTGGATAGAAAAGCCCTAGCCGTCATCAGGTGCACTTTGACAAAGAGTGTGGCTTTCAACAT